ATTAATCCCAGTGGATCAAAGAGGGAGCAAACAGCTGACACTATTCCTCAGCGTGTCACTGGTTTCTGACTCACTCGCTGCAACATCTTCTCCATTACTTCCTTTACAAACTTGTCTTCTTCTATGTTCCATTTTAGTCCGAGAGCGCTCTCTGTCGGGAGTCCCTCGAGTTCTAAATTCGCCACTGATTTGGCTCTTTCGGACTTTGGTATTGTCCCCATCACTTCTCGGTCCTTCCTATACCACTTCGTCAAGCGGAATCCACCTTTCTCCAGCAACGTCCGAAGCTGACTTGCTAAACTGATCGCCTTCCCTGTTGTGCTTGTCGACTTCATCATGTCGTCTACATACATGTTGCGGTTCACTGTCTCTATTACTTCCTTGTAAAAATCTTCCTGATACGACTGCGCTGTCTTTCTTAGATAGAAATTAGCGACACTTGGCGAAGATGTAGCACCAAACAAATGTGTAACCATTGGATACTCCTTCATTTCCTTTGTCAGGTCCTCATTTGGCCAGCACAGAAATCTTAAACTGTCACGGTTCTTTGAGTCCACGAAGACCTGATGAAACATTGCTTCAATATCAGCAACAATTCCAACAGAGTTCTGTCTGAAACGACTTAAGACACCCCTAATTCAACTGTTGATTTAGAGATGTCTTTCCAAACTTTGCTGCACAATCATACACCACCCTGACTTTGTTGGGCTTCAAAGGGTGTCACTGGGTGGTGAGGGAGGAACCACACTGGTCTGTTCTTTGTATTTAACTTTTCTTCAGGAACCATTTCTGCGTGTCCCTTTTCGATGTAATCATTCATTGTCGTCCTATACCCCTCCAATAAATCCTCATCATTTATGAGACGCATCTTAAGAAGCAGGGCTCTTCGTTCTGCCATTATCTTGTTGTTGGGAAAATACGGTGGGTCACATCGCCAAGGCAAGGCAACTTGAAAGTGTCCATTGACATGTTGAAGGGACCCTTCCATGACCTATAGGGCTCTTTTGTCTTCAACCGATGCACAAACTTTCCGGATCCTCCTAGAAATGGCAACCTTGGATTTAAATGCAGACCACAGTCAGCTACAGAAAGATTTAAATGGTCTCCAGCAATATTGAATATATAATCTTCTCTAGCTTTACTTTCATGATCAATACCCCATTTAGTAGCAGCACTGCTAAAGCGATGGGCTTCGGGATAACACACCTTCTTAATTAAACTCTTTTATGGTTTTCTGGATTACTGCTGCACGTCGACTTAAATTTTGAGGCTGTTATTCTAGCAGCTCTTTGCGTATACCACAATTTTGCTTGATTCTGGTTTCTTGTGACACTTTCAACTGTGTCAGCTTCTTTGGCATTGATATGAAGAGCAGAAAATACTTCGTCAATCAATTCTGGCTCTTCTACAGTTGCTGAAGAGCATCTGGACTTGACTTGGCTGCTACTGATTAAGGCAGTCCAGCAACCTGCTCCTCATGAAAAATAAAGGATGAATTGTATGGGGGAGTCAGTGAAAGGATGGCAGACTTTCCGTAGTTAAATATTTCTTTGAAAAAGTTATCTCTCTCTGATGCAGTAGTCACTTCAATTTGAGGCCGCTTTTTTTCTGCTCTTTGCTTGGACCCGTCTGGCTCTTCAAGCTGTTTTCGTAACTTATTTGCCGAAGTTAAGTCCATGTCACTGACTGGCATGTACGGGATCTCTTTAACATAACTCGGCATTATCCATTGGCCTTTTTCTCCAGTACATGTCACCGAGTCTCTCATTCGATATCCAGCTTCAACTGCGACTAACAGGGCAGCAATATGGGAACATGCTTCGCAGAGGCCGGCCATACAATCACAGTGTCCTAGAATTACCTCACCACTCACGTCGGCGAGAAGCCACGTGCTCAATGGTGTTGTTCTGGTTCTTTGCAAGTGATATACCCTCGCGGTAACAACAACTGAATTCGATTCAGCGACTTTCTTGGTGAATACAGTATTGACCCATCCGGAAACAAAGAAATTATACGCGTCTAAAGCTTTGTACGCCTTCATTTCTTCTCCTGTTTCCCACGAGGTTTGGAGGACGAGATAGTTTACAATATCCGGATATTGGATGCTCGGAAAATATCGTAAATCATCTCTACATTCGCTATTCTTTAAGAGATATGGGTCGAAACGACATAAATTAACTTTCTGACGATATCTAGCGAAG